AAAAAAAAAAAAAAAAAAAAAAAAAAAAAAAAAAAAAGAGGCTCCAGTAGGAGCTGGTGACCCCCAGGAAGTCTAGGGACAAGGGAGTTTCTGCCTACCCTGCGTCAGTCCTTTCCACATGGGTGAGGTCCATCCACGGAGTAGCGGGAACAGTCTGCGAAGACCTGAGGTCTGTCTCTGCGGTTCCATCGCAGCGCCTGCGCAGTGAAGCTCCTCAGCCCTGTACCAGCGCCACGTGGATGCCAGGCTCACGTCGGCCTGGACATCTCCGAGAACAAGTGGGCCCACCTGTGTGACATCAGGACCACCTGTTCTCCGTGCAGAACCGACTAGAACCCAACCTCGACAGCTCTCTGGACATACATGCTCCCAAGTTCTAGAAATACCCACAACCTGTAAGTACCTGCAAGAAAGTCTAGTTAAAGCAGGTCTCCCTGTGAGAACCCTGACTCCAGCTGTCCAGCCTCTTTCACTGTTGCCTTGGTTTTTCCTTAGATAGTCTGTCCTTTCTTTGTTATCTTAAGCTGTGGTGTCATTTTAGTTTTGTTTTTCAGTTGTCTTTAGTTAATCCCTTGTAATGAATGTTAACTACATTTTGTTTAAAAAAAAAAAAAGAATCAGGTGCCAAGTTTTAGAACTAGGTATTATCACAAGTATCCTTTATAACTTTATAATCTACAAACCCATTCGTTTATACAGATGAAAGGATTTTAGAAATTATCAATCCTAGGATCAATTAGTACTATAATGTAAACAAGAGGGGAACCTGCTATTAACAAAATTTTCTTTTGGAAAAGGAAAAAAATAAATTAATAAAATAAGGCTCAAATTATGTCTAAAATCAATCAAGTAGACCTCACTTCAGAAGAGACATTACTGGGAAGTTTTGTTAATGTTTTTATAATAGATTATCTTTTTTTTATTCGTCTTTGGCAATGTGAAATACTTTAAACCACTCCACTCCTTGACTTACACCAAAGTATAGTTATTAATAAGCACCCAATTGTTTTAGTGGGACTACGAATCAAATCCCTTTAATGTGAACATATGTGTCTGAAGTGTATCCCTTTTTAAAGTTTAAAGTTTTAAGGCATGGAACTATATTGTTTTATTTTTTAAATCAGACATTCTACATTAAGAAACTAAATTGAGATAATTATTAAAAGCTGAGTTAATTTAGGGAGAGAAAATCTTATTTAAAAGAGCCTTATAATAAACAAAACGTAAGGTAACATGGCACACAGGAACCAATTCACAATTCCCACAACCCCATATTACTCAAGAAAGAACATTCTAAATGTGCAGAAATGGAGGGGAAAAAAGGATATAATAACTTTTTTTTGGCTCAAATCCTTAAAAATATTCTTAGCCTTATACATTTACTAAGATTTCCTTTTAAATATTGGTGGTGGTAGTTGGGAACAACCATAGCACCAAGGGTATAGAAGACTAACACTTAAAAGGGTCCTGTGAAAACTATGACAAAGACTGTATTTGTTGTGGATAAGTTAATGATTCAAAAGGGGAAAGCCCATGCAACTGAATATTTCAATTTATGCCTGGAGTTTAGAAATTATGCATTTTCTGGATCTATTAAAACTTCTTATATTAGGAAACTTATATAAGGAAAAGACAAGAACTACTTACATTTTGCAATTTAAAAGTGATGAAAATAAATTTATAAAATTTACCTTCATAGTAATATATTTATGATATACTTCTGATACTTAATATCAAACTCAGTTAAAAAACTGAGTTAGACCAGTTAAAAAACAAAAGTTAAAAGCAGTCCCTCTCCCATGCATCCTACAACAAAAATCTTCCTGCATCTTTAGTTTCTGTGCTCTTTACTGGAAAAAAAAATTAGAATAAACTACATAAATCTTCTTTGTTTTTTACATACTAGTATAATAATAAATGCTAACTCGTGAGTTCTGACTATAAATTACCAGTAGGTGTTTTTGAGAAAGGAGTCCACTATCATATGCCTTAAGATAACATCAGTCAAGTATTGAGTTAATAAGAATACACTAGTATTTGGCACAAATTTAATTTTATTAAACCTTACAATGAATGTTGTGGCATATCATTTTCCATTGTGTGACAGTTTATTGGCTGGCATCTGAATACAGTACTTTTTGGAAAAATACACGATGGGAATTGACAAAAGGGAGAGAAACTAGTTGCTTAGTGATGTATGAGGGCAAAAAGAAAAAGATGACAACCAATTAATTTTAGTTTTCTTAGTAACTAAAATGGTTAAAGTTCCAAGCAATAATGCTGCTGTTACAGTGCACAAGAATATGGTTATTATCTCATCCGGCCCCCACAATTCTGAGGAAATTAAAAGGGTTATTATACCTGTAAAATTCAACCTAAGGCTTCTGCTGGGTAATATTATTTTAAAGAGCTACTTTTTCAAATATAACCTCAACAGTTTTCCCAAGTCACAGGAGATGGGGGTCTCGAAAACATTATACATTAAGTCACTTTACAAATGAGCAATCACTTAACTGCAAAATCATAATGGGCACCAAATTACCTTTGGTTGATTTGGGCTTATGTCCCTGTCAGATTTATGGATAAGAAAATGACTATTTTTAAAATCTGTAATCTACTTGTCTTTATAATGTAGACTGGCATCTAATCTGAGTAAAATGACCATTTCTTTTACAGAAATGGTCAAGAGTGGAACATCTAAAATTCAGCAGGCCTTAACAGGGGATTTTTATGGAAATGTAACCAAAACTTAATACATTAGCTCCAGCCAACATTACCATACTACAGTGTACAGCTGAGAGTACAATCAGCTCATTATTAAATTACTCATCTGTTGGTTAAAAAAATAACACAAACTTAAGTTTTTTTTTAAATTCAGTCTCACAATTTTGTTAATACTTTCTGACAAAGGCCTTTAAACAGTGTCTGAGGGCACATTTATGAGACACCCTCCTCTAAAATAAAATGGAAAATAAAATTCTGAGCTTTTAAACTAACTGATTTTTCAAGAGCTCCTAACATCATTTGGGGAGATGGCAAACAGAGAACTGTATCTTAATTGAAATAAGGCATTTCAGTTATCAAGACTGAGGAATAGTTCTAAGTTATCTATATTCAGTGGTGGGAAAATGCTATGTAAAGAAATCCTTATTTTATACTAGAGTTGCACAATTCAAATTCACCTATAAAATAGTGTGAGATGTGCCTCACTATAAGGGCATGTAAGCCCTCCTACCCCCTCCCAAAAAAAGGAATATTAAATCACTTAAAATCCAATTGCTCACCGTTCACCCCAAAATTATTGAGATCAACTAATGTAGATTTACTGTACTTGCAAAATTTTCCTTTCTTTAAAAAAAAAAAAAGGCTGTTCACGCATATAATTCTTATTCCAGAAGGTTAGAGGCAAATGATTTCAAAAATTGATGTCTGATATTTCTAGAATAATTATCTAAATCACAAACTATTCTTAATTTATGTGGCAGTTCAAATATTTCATCAAATTTTCCTATAGTAAACAAGATATTAAAATCTCTTCATCAAAAGGTTGCAGAGCAACCATTTATATCCAAATCACCCTTTTCAATGGTGAAATTAAATATACAACCTAGTAAAATGAGTAAGGATACCTTTTAAAAAATTAAACTTCAATTATTTAATCAGAAAGTAAGTCTAATGCTTTTTTGTTTATTTACTATTCTTCATTACAAGTTTTTTACTGAGTAAAGATGAAATAAACCTAATGTGACTGTTTGCAATGACTCCTTAAAACCCCTACATCAACCCTCAGAATAAAATGTCAACACAAAAATCCAAGTGATCAGGCTCATTAAACTCACAGGTAAACTGAGTTTTTCCTCAAACCAATAAGGAGCTTTTTATTCAGAACAATTTCATTAAGACATTTGCAGGGCAAATATGCCATCATAAATTTTACTCTGAATAACAATAAAGTGCTGAATGATAATTACCTGAATCATTTTTAGTACTTTTCACTTATTTTTTCTTAAGTTAAAAGAGCCCTTTCTGTGGCATTAGCAAAGCTGTGGAAAAAAAAATCCAAAAAAAAAAAAAAAAAACAAAGAAGGGAGGGAGAGAGGAAAGAAAGAAAAGAAAGGTAGAGAGAAAGAGAAAGAAAAAGAGAAAAGAAAAGCTAATTTTCAGTAAGGGAAGAGGAAGCACTGCAACCTTTTGTGTTTAATTAGGGTGACAAATAACTGAGACCAAAGTAATTCATGCAAGTTATCTTCAAAGGTATACTTAAGCTTGAAGAAAGAAGGAACACTGTTACTGACCTTTGATACTATGGCAGTAAATTGCATACTAAAAATACCTTAATTATCCTAGATGCCTAGATCTGGCTTGGCAAGCATCATGCCACTGACATGCTTCAGCTCTTTTTTGTAAATAAAAGTGATTTGCAGTTCAATTACTGAATATTTCAGTGTGACTCATTAAGCTGTGTGATAAAACTTTGAGGTTAAATTTAAGCAAATTCTCTACACCTAATCACATCATCAGCACAAGAGGACAATGCTGGCGCAGCATGAAAGGTGGGTCACTTTATAAAGATTCTTCCTTTTACTGCATGATATATTAAGACGACAGACCTAAATTTCAACTGGGTTAATGAGTTAGAATAGCTTTGTTTCCCAAATTTAGCACACAATAATTTCAGTGGATTAGAGAAAGAAACCTCAGATGTAAAGAAAAAAACAACAAAAAAGCTTGAGCTCTGGTAGCTAACCCGTAGCTCTAAAAATTGTCATGCTACAAGAGTACTTTTGTAAAATGAACTTTGTAACATACTTAACAGTGTTTCAGAGTTGAAGTTGACCAACTGCTGCATAGAAAATATGCTAACATACAACAGTCAAGTTGAAGCCAGTGCATAGAGAAGATAAAGCACTTATGGTAACTGCAAATGGTAACAAGTCCATAAAGTTTGTACAACCTAACATGGATCCATAAGGGGAAAGAAACTGATAAGTAGAAATGGTTAAAAATGAGGTGGAAACAGGGGAGAAGCTCGGAGAAGAGAAGAAGCACAAAAAAGACCTTCAATTGTATAAAATTCACAAACCAGGAAAGTATAAAGACACCACTGAAAAATGGTTAACTCTGTCCCAAACACCCAACAGCAAACAAAACCAGAATGGATAAGCCTTTGGCAGACAATTTTAGAAATCTGAATATGAGATTACATTTCTCAATAATTCACAAACAATATATTATATGGTATATTTATATTAAATACTGGGAAACCAACCCTGTAAATTTGATGCTTACAATGCTTTAGCCAATGAGAGCACGATGAAATCAAGCTAAATGAATGCTGGTGTTACAACAGTGCTCATTTATGAAACAACTGTTACCAAGTCGTGCTTCAACAGTCAAATTATCATCTATGAAGTGACACGAAGGTCTCTAGCTTTTCTGGGATATGCCCTTTATAGTATATTCTATGATTCACTATGACACGAGCAGCTAGACACTGCAATGTGGTATGATTTATAGGCTGGATCAAATTTTTAGCTATTTCCTTCTCGTCCAGCAAGTCACTAGCAGTTTGTTTGTGCAAGTTTGTGGCATCAAAATGTGCACCTGATTTAATAAGGAGATTCATGATGTCTGGATGGTTGTTCAGAGCAGCAATATGGAGGGGACTGTTGTCATCCGAGTCTCTGACGTTCACATCAGCACCACATTCTATCAGTATCGCAGTAACTTGCAGAGATGGAAATTTACAAACAGGGTACTGCCCTACACAGGTAGTATTCTTGTCCACAGCCAGATGAAGAGGGCTGAAGTTATTCTTTCCCCTTGGATGCAGCTTAAGAAACCTGTATATAGTTTGCTTTTTGAAATGATCCTGTTCTGGAGTACAAGGAACTTTTTCTAATATGCAAATCAAGTGCAAAATAATGGAAAGAGCCTTATTTAACTGTAATGGGTCTGCTGGACACTGAGTTTGTTTGATCGCTCGCTCTATTTCAAGGACACTTTTGCACAGTATGCCCATAAGATCATCAAATGTAACAGTGGTTCCCAGACCTTTAGCCCTATACTGCAGCATAAAAGAGAACAGTTCTGCAAAAGATAATAAGCTGCTGGCGGTCATCGGGCTTAGAGGGTCCAAATTGTTCTGCTGCATATCCAAAGCATACTTCCATAGGTTGATGCATCGTTTGAAATTTCCAGAGTCTGCATAGACAGCGCCTCTATATCTAATATAGTAAGAGGTGTCAGGATGAGAAGGACCAAGAATACGTTCTCTAATTAATAGTGCCTGCATTCTCATCTCATCAGGATCAGCAATAAGACCTTCTAGCTCTTCTGCACTGTTTACCTCCTTGGCATAATCATAAGCCATTATTAGTGTCTGCGGTACTGGTTTGCTAATTATATTAGTCCTATCACTGTACCTCATGTTCATTGCCTTTTTCCAGTATTTCAAAGCCCCAAGGAGATCTCTTTTTTTGTCTACAAATGTAGCTCCCAGAAGCTCTAGAGCATTGATCCTTTCTGTCTTGCTGGTCTGTGCATGGTGAGTCAGGAAATCCACAATATTTGTGTGACCAGTCACACTTGCTGAGAGAAGGGGAGTCATTCCATAACCATCCTTTTCCATCTTGGCACAATACATAAGAAGCATCTTCATGATGTCCAAACTTCCAGATTCTGCGCAATCATGCAATGCAGTATTACCTTAAGGAGGAGGAAAAAAAGAGATAACATATTTGAGGGACCAGGATATAATGTAATACATATGTATACTTTAGAATCTAAAGAAAAGCAGGCAGCTCCAAGCTGCCCTCAATGGGACATACTTTAATTTGATTACAAATAAGAAAAAATGATCCCCAGCACCTTAAGCTAATGTCTGACACATAGCAGGCAGAAAAAATATTGGTTAAATTCTTTGAATAAACGAAATGACAAAATAAGGCATGAAAAGATATTCAAAGTCACTAAATGAAATTCAAAATTAATCCACGGCCTCTTGATATTTTTCAATAATGTTTTCAAGTGTATATTCTACAACTAGAAACTGACAAAATGAAATTAACCAGCTATTTACAGTTTTGATGACAGTCACTTAACTTTCTGGGTCAGACTCCACATTTATAAATAAGAAATCTAGTCTGTAATACCTAAGAGTCTCCAATTTGATTCTAAGAGTCAGAAATTATTTTTTCAGTATTTCTGATTGCCAAGTGAACCTCAGCTGTTTTAGTCAAAAATCTTGGTAACAAAGTACAATACTTTCTTCAAAAAACTCACACAAGAAAAACAAGTCCACTGAAACCTAAAAAATATGTGGGTGGTTCAACATGAACTTTAAAAGGAGACATCTAAAGTGTCCTTTCATAATGGATTATTTCCCACTGTAATTTAATTTTCTTAAACATTCTTTTAAAATGTACTAAATGTTCTAACACCGTCCAATTCTTCCCACACATGGATTAAAACTGACAATAGACATGGGCACATTAGTAAAAGGCTGTATGGATGGAACATACTAAGACATAATCACTCATTTTAACTACCTAAATTTAATCTAAACATTCTACTAATGATCAAAACAGAAATTATCATGCAGACCTTTGATATCTACATACAATGTTTACAGAAAATTTCAACAGTCTTTTTAGGCACGTGTGTGAAAAATAACTAATATAGCTGGCTGAGACAACTATCTTTAGAAAGACCTGCTTGCAAGGATGGCCCTGGGCTGGCATCTGGAATGTTGTCTGGTAAACAGTTCCAAGATATAAAACTTTCCCTAAATGATAAGGGTGGCTTTTATGCTGACTACCTGCTTTCCTTCTGGGACTCTGGAATTTTGCATATGTGCTCAGCAGAGGCTGCCTTTGTGCCTAGTGCCCAATAAAAACCCTGGACATTGAGTCTCTAACCATTCTCTAATCAACCAAAATGGGTTTGCCTGGGCAGGAATATTGCACACATGCATTTATGTTGCTAGGGGAAGACTGCTCTTTGTGACCTCACAGGAAGGAGAGAGCATAAAAAAGCCTGCACAAAGATGCCTCTAGACCCCAACTGTGCCTTTCCTCTTATGATCCAGGTACACGTCCTTATTATATCACTGTAATAACTCTTAGCCATGAGTACAACTGTATGCTAAGTTACCTGCAAACATGGGGGTGGCCTTGAGAACGCCAACACAGGATGTGTACTAGAAAGTTGTTTAAACCTAAATACTTCACATAACAGATCTACAGATAAAATTCCCAAAAGCACAAGTTGTAATACATTAGGACTTTAAATCTCTTCACAAGTTTATCCTGTTTATTAGTGTTCCATGATATCTATAGGGATTATATTAAAAAATCTGGATATGTTAATTGTGACCCAGGATTCCAATTGGTCTACAATGGAAGGGTGTCTGATAGAATGTTTTAGCAATGTGTATGGTAACCAACCACTAAGAGAGCCCAGAACTTCTGACTACTAATGTTCATTTGCTCAAAATAATTTCAATTAAACATGACTACTACTAAGTATATTTTTAAAACTCTTTTGAATTATGGATCCCTAATATTCCCATTTTCTCTAAGAAATAGACAATAGAAATATAAAGAAAAGGCTTAGATGGCATTCTTCTCTATTCAGAATAATAAAATCAAGAAAAAGAATGCAGCAAAAGCCAGTTTTTTAAGTAACTGAATTGACGTATTGGAAAAATGCAGAATATATATATTTTGAATACACCATATACTGAAAAAAATTTTGTTTTGTTTTGTTTTTTGTTTTAAAGGAATAAGAGACTCTCACATCTAGTATTGGCAGAGGTAGCACGATCACCCTCCCAATAAGAACCAGAAAAGCTGAAAACTGCATTAAAAAAAAATCTGTATGACCGGCTGTAAGAGCTCACAGGGAGATAACATCCAGGAGAATAAAGAAAATTAGTTAAGTAAAGTCCAGAATTTGGGGAAGCTCTCCCCAACGACCTCTACTGATTCTGGAATAGGCAGCTAAAAAACTGGGCAGAGCTTTTGACCTTTCAGGGCTAGAGGAGAAAACTGGAGTCCAAAGCCCATTAAGAAATCCCTATACACTTTAGGTTATAGCTCTGAAGGGCTGCTCTCTAGGAGTTAAGGTGAAGTGCAAAGAAACCAAAGTTCACAGGCACTGAAATCCAAGTTAAAATCATCTTGACATTGAATTAAAGTAATCCAGAACTTCTAGTATATATGTAATCAAAAGCCAGAAGCAAATACAAATACTATTTAGATGAAGATATTATCATACCAGAGCTCAAATTATTTTTATATATTCTTCATATATAATGTTTGGTATCCAATCAAAAATAATGGACAGAAGAGAAAACAAGGAACCACAACACAAAAACCAAGGATAAGAGCTAAGGGAAAAGCCCAACAGAAGATCTAGATAATACAGTTATCAGACACAGACTTTAAAGTAATAATTATGCTTAGAGTATTCAGATATTTAAAAAAAAATTGAGAATTAGAAAACTGTAAACTACAAAAAAGAACCAAACGGACATTCTAGAACTGAAAAACTCAATGGGTGGCTTTAAAAGCAGACTACACACAGCTTAATAGAGAATCAGTGAACTAGAAAATTAAGTCAGATGAAAATACATAGAAAGAAGCATGCAAGTGAAAGGATGGAAAAACAGGAGACTATAAGAGACAGAGGAAACGATGTCAGAAGGGATAACATGCTTAAAACCAGAATTATAGACTAAGAAAATAGGCCCAAAGCAATATTTAAAGAGATAAAGTTTGAGAATCTTCTGAAGCTGATGAAAGATTAACCATAAATTTAATAAGTTTTATAAACAACAAGGATAGGCAAAAAGAAAGCCACACTGAGGCACTCTACAGCAGAACCGTTAAAAACTAAGGACAAAGACAAAAATCTTAAAACCAAAGAATAGGTGGAAATGACCTGCCAAAGAACAACAATTAGACTGACAGCAAAGTTCTAATCAGAAACAAGAGAAGCCTTAAAGCACTAAAGGAAAATAAATGCCAACTTAGAATTCTGTGAAGTAAAGGGCCGTTTCAGGTGAGAAAGAAAAGATGAGCCACATGGAAGCCTGAAAGGAGAGTATCAACATTGACAGGGTAAATTTGTGAGACATCTAAATAAATATTGACGTTGAAAATAATATCTTGCAACAGGGTTTGAAACACATATAGAAGAAAAATGCTTGACAGCAATAGCCTAAAAGTAAAGAGGGTAATTGGAGTTGAAGTATTCTAAGATTTCTGCCTTGCTTGGAAAGAGGTAAAATTAGAAATTTATGTTAGCCTTTGATAAGTCAAAGTACTACTATCTAGAGTAACCACTAAAATAATAGAGGGTATGCATGCATATAATTACTATATCCTCTAATATAGAGAAAAAATGAAAAATAATCCAAACAAAGACAGAAACAAAGCAAAACAGGTAGACAAATAAAAATCAGTAAGTAGCTAGGAGATTAAAGCCCAAATATATAAGTAGTTACATTAAATACAAGCAAACTAAATGTTCCATTAAAAGACAAAAACTGTCAGACTGAAAATACAAACACACACACAACTCAACTACATGCTGCTTACAAGAGAAATACCTTAAATGTAAGGATAGAAAACGGTTGAAGTGAAAAGATGAAAAAATATATATACTTTATGCAAAAATTAACCATAAGAAAGCTGTCTGATATTAAGATATCAGATTAAGTAGACTTTAAAACAAAATGCATGATTACAGATAAAACATTTTATAATGACATAAAATTCAAAACAACAGAAAGATATAATTCTAAATTTGTTTTCACCTAAAAACAGCAAAATAAATAAAGCAAAAATCAACAGAACTACAAGGAACATCAGATAAATCCACTCATAATACATTTGAACACACCTTTTTCAGTTTAGGAGACCAAAACCAATAAGGATACTGAAAATTAAATGAACACTATAGAATTTAATTTTTTTCTAAGGACACATGGAGCATATACAAATGCTGACTACATTCTGGGCCATAACATGAGACTCACACAAATGTCAAGGGACTGAAATCACTGAATATGTTCTAAGTCCACAATACAAGTTAGATTAAAAACAAACAAGCGGAAAAAAAAAACAAACCCTAGAAAAGTCTCCACATATTTGACATTTAAAAATATACTTTTAAATAGCCCACGGGTCAAAGAATGAATCCCAATGGAAAGCAGAAAATATTTTTATCTGGATGATAATAAAAATGTTAAATAAAAAATCTTGTGGGACATGGCTAAAACTATGCTTAAATGTACATTAGAAAAGAACGGCTTTTTGAAAAAAACAGCTAAGTTTCCATCTCAAGAACTTATAGGGGAAAAACAATATATTAAACCTAGAGAGACTAGAAGCAAATAATAAAAAGCAGAAATAAATGAAGAGAAAAGGTACCAGTATGCTAGCACGGCATTTTTTCCCCTAAATTGTATTAACTATTGCGAACTTATTATTAATAACTATGCAAAGTAGAGAAGATAAACTTGTTCTACAAACAGAAACCAGAGAAATTGGTAGTAAAATAAAAACCCATGTCTCCCAATTGCCATTTCAGTGTATTGCTCATTACTAAGGTCATATTTTAAATGCTAGTCATACTACACTCCAGTGAATAAGTTATTTCTAATATAAACCAAGCCTCATAATAAAACTTCCACCAATCAT